GTGAAATATATTTATGTTTGTGGTTGTAATGTGACAAAATATGGAAAAGTTCAAGGGGTATGAATACTTTTGCAAACCACTGTAGGTGAAAAATTTTCGATTTTGGGATTTTGCCAAAATATGATAAATAAATGCCTTATCTATAGGTTCCTTGAAGAAAATGCCCAAAATATCATTCTTAATAATGTTTTTCAGCACTTTTCTGAGCAAAACAGGATGATTTTAAGCATAAATACCTGAAACTTCCGCTACCTTCGTTGCGCTCTGGCGAAGGTTTTTTTAACACCAGTTGGGAAATCCCAGTATCCAAATATGGTTCAAAGTTTCCATTTGCAAATGACGTTGTGAAATCCCCATTAGAATTGCTTGGAAAAAAATCTGACTGACATACAGTACCAGCTGAAGTTCTGTAAACAAACTCTCGTTGTTGCTACGGAGCTAGCGATTTCAGCATGTTGATTGGCCAGAAATGATCACGTGGTATTGTGGCATCCATTTTGGCAAAACAAGATAACTTTTTAGCATTACAAATGAACAAACAAGTGAACTTTTATGTAGTTTTAAGGTTGAATAGTTAATTATATTGAACTGTTGGTTGTATTAGCATTGTTTAATAGTAGTTTCACTGCATGTCATGCTGTAAATATGGCTAATTCTGCCGCGAAAACGTTGACCGATGTAGTACAGTGTAATTTACATGCTATACACTCTGCAGACAAAGACAGCCTGCTTCAGTTTGCTTTTGACTATTTTGATGATGAATTGATGGATTCYGATGAGGAGACAGATGAAGAAGATGATCTAAWTGACAAGGAGTTGGTTGTGTTGCCAGATGCCCCTGAATTAGTCGATCTTGTCAGCGAGCTTGATCAGCTGGAGCAGGAAGCTGATGAAGCTGCCGGTGACTCTGAAACTGAGGAGAATGAGGAGGCTGAGCAACTAAATGTTTTGATTGATGAGGCTGAAGTGCTGGATCCAGTAGCAGACACAGTTGTGTGTTTAAATTCTGAGCAGGAATGTGACCGAATTAGGAACTTTAACTGTGGTTAAAGATTCAAAGCAGGTCGATGCCTGCAGCAGTTTGATGAGGAGTACATTGAAAAAGTACGGATGTACATTCAGGWACTGACAGTTCATGAAAAAGACATGCTTATTATGGGGAAAGTCAGCTGTACATTGAATTTGTCCAAATACACATTGAGAAGAAAAAGAGGAAAAATCAAGTGGAAAGACAACGATGGCGCTGTTCATTCCTCAACAGCAGGAAGGTCATCTGCAGAAAGGCATTCAAGTTTAAGCATTGGTGAGTTCACGTGTTATTTTTATTTTTATCTAGCTTTTGTGAATTACTTGAATTATTTTCTTATTCAGAATTATAGTGTCATCACTTAGTATGATGGCAGTAAATCAGTGAGAACCTTTCCCCTATTACAGACATAATTGTCATAAATGAACATCCTAAATTCCTGACTACTTAAATTCAATATTTGAAACTATGATCCCATGTCATGCCCATATTGTTCTAAACTTTTTTTGTGTATGTTTTCCTACTTTCAGCATTGGCAACAACAGGCTTGATAAAATCATCAATGCTTATGCATGTGGGAACATCAAACCCCTAGACAGACAGGGTGGTGGCAGGGTAGAAAGTGCCAGGGTGATATCCTATTGTAGCAGGACAAAATAGGTGGAGATTGCACCTGCTGACAAAATAACTGGGGTATCAGCCAATGACACTAGAGGGTGCTCCCTATAAAAGCACAGGTAAAACTGCTGGCTTAGATTTGTTGGGTAAGATACGACACCGTCTGCTCAGTGTTGTGCCATTTGTGTGCCAAGGAAAGGTAACTTTCAGTGTGTTTTACTTCTCCAATTGATTGTGGGTGTAGTGGCTGTTGTGACCAGTTTGTGCCCTCGTGTGGTTCTCCTTGCAAGTGAGAAAGGAGATTGACCTGATCGGGATTGGGGTGATGGTTTAATTGAACCCCACCATCACCGCTGCTGCTTTGTCCAGCCTGTATTCTCCAGTTTGCCACGAGATCATGTGTGACTGATTGAAGTATGGCGCTTGGGACACACCCACACCACAGGAGAGAGGAAGCGGAGGTTTTACCTGCTCAGCAGTGGAACTAATCACATTGTTGATGACGGACCGTTTTTGACAAAACCTGATTTTATTCTTTGTGCCTGTATTTTAGAAATTGTTGTTTGTGTATTTATGTAAATTTTCATTTTTTTCTAATTTTCTTCTTACTTTTTTCTCTTTTTTTAGCTCATTGCTGAGGACCGGTGACAGTGGCGCAGTCGACCTGGAGGGTGACATCCCCTTTTTGTGTGCATGCTGCAGTGATTAACACCGGTGGAGGGAATCCCAGGAGTGGTGATTTCACGGTTGTTTGTGGTGGTTTTCTTTTGGGAGACGTCCACCCAGAGCAGGTCTGTAGGCACCTACCGGTAAGCCTCAGCTGAGCGTAAATTTTTTTTTTTGTTGTTGTTTCTCTTTTTCCCTTTTTTAGGTACAGGTATTCTTTTTTTTACCGTTTTCTTTATTTTTGTTTTAATAAACAATAATTCATTGTTCCAACTTTGAAAACTATCTCCTGCTTCTTGCAAAACGTGCCTATTTTAAATGGTGATTTCTGAGGGTGTTGCTGACCAACCAAGCCCTAATTTTGTGGTGCTTCAGAAATCATCAGTTGCTACACTTGGTGTTGTTGGAAGGTGCATTTTGCAATGTCTGGCAGAGACAGGTGTTTCAGAACTTAATTTATTTTAAAAAAACTTGTGAGAATTGTGGGTTTAATTGTTTTATTCTACGCAAAGCAGCAGCTGGTTAATTGGTGGGATTCAAAAAAGAGAGAAACTGGTAAATTTTTTCTTTTCCCTTCCATCTCTTTCATTCTCTTTTTTAGAGTCCTGTTTAATTTTAAGACTCCTTTACTGACTAGAGCTCCRTAATGGAGGCAGAAATGCAGGAGCTGAAAAACAATTGTTCAGTTGAGAGCTGAAAATGAAAGGCTGTGCCAGGATCAGGCAGCTGTTATTCCAGGACCTAGTGCTACCCAGACTACAGCATTGTTGCCTCCTGCTACAAGCCCCTCTGTAAATGAGAGGTTTGTTTTTGTACCACGCAATAGAAAATGTCCCATGTTCAGAGGGAAAAGAGGCATTGGGTTAAAAGAGTGGCTGGAGGAGGTAAAGGCCTATATGAGGTTACGTCTTTTGTCCACGGCTGATCAGGCTTTCTTTTTATTTGATCATTTGGAGGGAGAGGCACGTGATGAAATAAAGTTTCGGTCTATTACTGAGCACGAGGACCCTGCTAAGATTATAGCTACTTTGCAGGAACTATTTGACTGTTCTGAATCCTGTGGAGCACTTCAAGAGGCTTTTTTTTCTCGCCGTCAGCATGATGATGAAACACTACAGGAGTTTTCACTAGCTCTGATGAGTCTTATGAAGGCTGTAAAACGCCATGCACCGAAAGATTTTCAGAATGCAGAGGCACTGCTGCGTGATCAGTTTGTTGAACATGTGGTGGATGGGGCTCTCCGTCGTGAGTTAAAAATGTTTGTGCATGGGCAGCCAACAGCCACCTTGCTGAAGGTTAGAGCAGAGGCACTCCGTTGGGAGCGAGAGGTGCGGCCAAGTAAAATACCTGGGTTAAGATCTTCTGCCCCTTCAGCATTTGAATCTCCGTATGGTGTACTCAAGGAGCTGTTGGTTCACAGCAGGACTCTGAGTTGAGCCAAATGAGGGACGTGTTGCAGCAACAGCAATTGCAGCTTAACCAACTTACCCAAAGTATAGCTCGGTTGCAGAGACCCAGCCAGCAGGGTCGCTCTCGTGACTCTATTATCTGTAGGCATTGCCAGAAACCCGGCCATTTTGCCAGAGATTGTGATGGGGTTCGAGTTCAGGTACAAGTCTATAATCAGCAGTCACCCCAGGTGTCAGAAAACTCTTTCCCTCTGAATCGCTGAGCCACGATTCGGATGGGGCAGTCAATGGCTCTAGGGTTGGTATTTTGCAGGGAGATTCTAATCTGGTGTCATCTTGTCCACATTTTGATGTGAGCATGGGTGGGGTCAAAGTTCCTTGTTTGATAGACCCCGGATCTATGGTTTCTACAGTTACGGAGGATTTCTGTACCCTGCATTTTGAGCTGTGGGGTCAGGAGAAACTGCAGTCCTGTCACTGGCTTCAACTTTGAGCGGCCARTGGCCTTTCCATTCCCTACATCGGCTATTTAGAGCTGGACATTGAACTCTGTGGCAAGATTGTGCCCCAATGTGGGGTATCTGTTGTTAAGGATCCTCCTACTGGTGTAATGTTGCAGGCTCCAGGTGTGTTGGGGAAGAATGTGATCAGTCGCTGTTACGTTGAGCTTTTTAAGCATCATGGTTCAACTTTGTTTAATTCACCTGCTGTGTCTACTGCTCCAGATTCCATCAGACAAGCCCTTCATAGAGTCCATCATGCCACAACTCGACCCCCAGGTGATGTAATTGGTGGTGCAAAGGTGTGTGGTAAGAAGGCTCACTATATTCTTGGTGGTACACTGAAGACTGTGCCAACCACATGCTCGGAGAGGTACTTAGGCAAAGCTGTTTTGTTTGAGTCTTTGCACTCTAACCTTCCTGCGGGACTCCTTATTTCACCTGCTCTGATTCAGGTTATAAAAGGAACTGCGTACATTCCCATTGTGAATGTGGGCACTACTGATGTGGTGCTACACTCTCGTACTCACATTGGTAGTTAAGTTCTGTCCATGTTGTCAGTTTGACTGCAGGTGTTCAGGCTGTACCATCAGGCATGCCCTCTGTGGGATCGCAAGGTGCTGTTCATTCAGTCTATGACCAGATAGACGCACTGGATGTAACTGGATTGTCAGCTGAGGAGCAGAGTGAGGTAAGAGCTTTACTTAGAGAGTATAGCTCAGTCTTTTCTGCACATGATGGCGACTTGGGATGCACTAGTTTGGTCACCCATGATATCCCTGTTTTGGATAATACACCTGTTAAACAACGCTACTAGCGTATACCTCCATCAGAGTATGAGGCTGCCAAAGAACACATCCATCAATTACTGGAGGCACAAGTAATTAAGGAAAGTAGCAGTCCCTATGCTAGCCCCATTGTGCTTGTTAAGAAAAAGGATGGGACTTTACGGATATGTGTTGACAATAGGCACCTGAATTCTAAAACTAGAAAAGATGCCTTTCCCCTCCCTCATATAGAGGAGTCTCTGGACATGCTAGGGGGTGCACACTGGTTTTCCACTTTGGATTTAGTGAGTGGGTATAACAAGGTGCCAGTAACAGAGGCCGGCCGGCCTAAAACTGCATTTTGCACTCCATTTGGTCTTTTTGAATGGAATCGCATGCCATTTGGGCTTTGTAATGCACCCAGCACTTTCCAAAGGTTGATGCAGAGGCTCTTTGGTGATCAACAAAACAAAAGTCGTCTGTTGTACCTAGATGACATTGTAGTGTTTTCCTCCACGGTCCAGCAACATCTGGAGAGATTGAGGGTGGTTTTGAGTCATCTTCAAGGTGAGGGCCTCAAAGTGAAACTGAGCAAATGTGCCTTCTTCAAGCCTGAGGTGCGTTGTCTGGGGCATATCATCTCTGCTGAAGGTGTCGCAACCGATCCTAGTAAAACTGAGGTCGTAACCAATTGGCAGCCTCCCACTACCGTTTCTGAGCTACGATCCTTTCTCGGGTTTGCTAGCTATTACCGTCGCTTCGTGGAAGGCTTTGCAAAACTAGCCGCTCCTCTGCATTGCTTGGTTGCAGAGCTAGGGGGCACCAGGTCTAGGAGGTAGCCAGGACAGACAATCATCCAGGGTTGGACAGAAGAGTGCCAGACTAGTTTTGAAGAACTAAAACTCAGACTGACAAYTACTTCAGTGTTGGGTTATGCAAACTTCTCACGTCCCTTTATTTTAGAGGTAGATGCAAGACATGGTGGTTTAGGGGCTGTGCTCTCTCAGGAGCAGGAAGGCAAGGTGAGGCCCATTGCTTATGCAAGCCGTGGTTTGAGGCCTACAGAGTGCAATGTGCTGAATTATACAGTAGCTCCATGAAACTGGAGTTCTTGGCATTGAAATAGGCCATGACTGAAAAGTTTCGAGACTTCTTATTAGGCCACAAGTGTGTTGTCTTCACTGACAACAATCCATTGAGTCATTTGGCTTCAGCCAATCTGGGTGCGACTGAACTATGTTGGGCTGCTCAGCTTGTGCTATTTGACTTTGAAATTAAATACCATTCTGGTAGAGCCAATAAGAATGCTGATGCTTTGTCAAGGCAGCACCCTGCAGGTACGCAGGATTTGAAAACGATGGTTCCAGGTACATCCCTTCCCAAACCTTTGAGAGAGGTTATTCAGAGGAAACAAGGGGAGGTGAGTCAAGCGGCTGTTATGGCCCTGCCTAATAATACCATCTCTGAAATTGCTGTTTTTCAGAAGGCTAATGCATCTATCCAGGAGTTCTGGGTTTTCTGGAGGCAAAAACAGYGTCCTACTGCTGAAGAGCGTCTGCAGGTATCATGACCCATTCTGGTTTTACTCTGGCAATGGGATAAGCTGGTTGAGGAAAGTGGTGGTGTCCTGTACCACCAAGTATTCAAACCTGCTGGTGGTGAGTTAATTTTACAACTGGTGTTGTCAACCTCCTTAAGTGAGGAAACCATGAAAAAGGTTCACAACGAGCATGGCCTTCAGGGTGTGGAGAGAACATTAGAGCTCCTACGCCAACGTTGCTACTGGCTGCAGAGGTGGCCCAGTGGTGACAGACATGTGACAGATGCCAGGTGGCAAAGCACACTCAACCACAAGCTCTGTCATTCATGGGGCATTTGTTGGCTTCACGGCCTAATGAGATTTTGGCCATTGATCTCACCATGTTGGAGCCTACCCATACTGGATTGGAATATGTGCTTGTGGTGACTGATGTGTTCAGCAAATACACATTTGCTTTTCCCACCAGAGACCAGCGTGCTTCTACTGTAGTGCAGATCTTGGTGAATGAGTGGTTTTTAAGGTTTGGTATACCTGTTGTATACATTCAGATCAGGGGCGCAGCTTTGAAGGTTCACTTATCCAACAGTTGTGTCAGCTGAATGGGATTGAAAAATCATGGACCACACCTTACCATCTAGCCGGCAATGGTCAGTGTGAACGGTTTAACCGCAACCTTCATGACCTGTTGTGAACATTACCAGTTTCTAGGAAGAGATATTGGAGTGCATGTTTGCCACGTTTTGTACTCTTACAATACTACACCCCATCAGGCTACTGGTGAATCACCATTTTTCTTAATGTTTGGACAGGAGCCTCGGCTGTCGGTTGCTTTCCTTCTAGGAAGAGTTCAGGAGCCTGTGGCTGGCAGTGTCCATGACTGGATCCAGGAGCATCAGGCCCGCTTACAGGTAGCATTTGAGGGTGCCCGTGGGAGGCTAAGGGTTGCTGCAGAGCGTCGCAAGAACCATCATGACCAGCGAGTTCGACATGTCCCCTTGAGGACTGGGCAGTTGGTGTGGTTGCGGGATTTCACCCCACGAGGTCGCCATAAGGTCTATGATCTATATGGCCCAGTGAAGTATAAAATCCTTAGGGAACCCCACGAAGGAGGTTCAGTGTATACCATAGCACCAGTAGTTGACCTGAGTAGAACTAAAAATGTCCATTGCATGCTTTTGAAGGCATTGGCACAGGAGGACACCTTAGAAAGTGCTAGTGTCCCTAGTTCATTGCCCAGTGACCATTACCAACCTGAGGACGAGCTATCAGGTGATGAGGATTTGTTTGTTTTGAGGAACCAAAGTCCTTCCATTCCAACTAAAACAGTGGAGGTTAACCAACCTACCTTTCAATTGAGAGACCCACAGCTGCAGTTGCCGGATTCTCATCTGGTCTCTCTACATATAGTGGAGGAAGATTGCAATCCCCACAGGCTGTCTGGCTCTCCGCTGGCTCTATTACATTACTCAGCAAGGTCAACTGCAGGCAAGCATTCTAACATTAATCACCTTCCCACATCAGCAGGTGAGGCTCCACAAGCTGTGGGCTCTTCTGATTCACCTGAATCACCTGAATGTAGCATGTAGTCAGTAGAATGTAGCAGGACTAAATAGGTGGAGATTGCACCTGCTCACAGAATAATTGTTTGTGGTATTAGCCAATGGCACTAGAGGGTGCTCCCTATAAAAGCATAGGTAAAACTGTTGGCTTAGATTTGTTGGCTAAGATACGACACCGTCTGCTCAATGTTGTGCCGTTTGTGTGCCAAGGACAGGTAACTATCAGCGCGTTTTACTTCCCCAAATGATTGTGGGTGTAGTGGCTGTTGTGACCAGTTTGCGCCATCATGTGGTTCTCCCTGCTAGTGAGAAAGGAGATTGACCTGATCGAGACTGGGGTGATGGTTTAATTGAACCCCACCATCACCGCTGCTGCTTTGCCCAGCCTGGATTCTCCAGTTTGCCACGAGATCATGTGTGACTGATTGAAGTATGGCGCTTTGGACACACCCACGCCACAGGAGAGAGGAAGCAGAGGTTTTACCTGCTCAGCAGTGGAACTAATCACATTGTTGACGATGGACCGTTTTTAACAAAACATGGTTTTATTCTTTGGGCCTGTATTTTAGAAATTGTTGTTTGTGTATTTATGTAAATTTTCATATTTTTCTAATTTTCTTTTTTTTCTCTTTTTTAGCTCATTGCTGAGGTCCGGTGACGATGGTGCAGTCGACCTGGAGGGTGGCATCCCCTTTTTGTGTACATGCTGCAGTGATTAACACCGGTGGAGGGAATCCCAGGAGTGTGTGATTTCACGGGTATTTGCGATGGTTTTCTTTTGGGAGACGTCCACCCAGAGAAGGGTCTGTAGGCACCTACCGGTAAGCCTCAGCAGAGCGGTAATTATTATTTTTTGTTTTTTCTCTTTTTCCCTTTTTTTAGGTACAGGTATTTTTTTTTACCGTTTTCTTTATTTTTGTTTTAATAAACAATAATTCATTGTTCCAACTTTGAAAACTGTCTCCTGCTTCTTGCAAAACGTGCCTATTTTACATGGTGATTTCTGAGGGTGTTGCTGACCAACCAAGCCCTAATTTTGTGGTGCTTCAGAAATCATCAATTGCCACACTATGAAGACATAAGGAGGGTTGTAAGCTTCATCTCACCCTTTGCAGAAACTCACACCATCATTCTACCAGGTCGTGTTCCAGGGTTCAAACGAGATGACATTCGTCTACTGCCATCACACGAGACAAAGGCATCAGAATGGAGAGCATGCTCTGCTGCTATGGAAGAAACTGGTGAGTAATAGGTAATACATAAATTATATAAATAGAGTAAAATTAGATGGTAAAATGACCTCTGGTTAACCTGGACAGCATATAGCACCTGATAATGTCAACAATAGAATCAAAATAAAACAAAACAAAAAAAGTACATCACATTTAAGCTGTCACTTATGCTGCACACAATACAGATAATAAAAAAATAATACTGAACATGAGAAATATTAAAACAAAAATAAAAACAGGTAAAAATATTATAACACATAAAATAAAACCACTGAAATGATGCAAAAATATTAATTATCATGCTACATTTAAAGCCAGTGAGTACAAATGTGTTTTAAGATGAGACTTAAAAACACCAAGAGTTAAAGTTGGTTTGAAATAAAGTGACAGCTGGTTCCAAAGTTTAAGAGATCCAACTGAAAATGACTTATCACTTCTGTGGAACAGCCTGGGAATTACTAATCTAAACAAAAAGCAAAGAAACAGAAAAGTCATTGTTAGGTTATTCAGCAACGACTAACAGGCTTGGAGCAACACCTGAAGTAAAATCGCTGTTAGCAAATGACACCACAACCTTGACAACATGAAACATCCTCTTGCCAAAATTAAGTTGTTCTAATTCTTTTTTAAAGAAAGTTTTGAACCATTTTCACCAGCTCATTAAAACACAGAAGTTCAAATTGATATAGCAAAATTGGATGGTTTTGAATGGTGCAAAGGTTGAAACAAATGAAAGGTGTTTACAAAATGTTTTCCTGTGAGACCTGTCATTCCAGACCTTTTGAGAGTTACTTCATCAGTTTTCTCTTTTTTTTTCTAGGTCATCATGCCTGCAAATTAACTTCATTCAAGAACATATGGAACCGACTGCTGCCTTACATTATTTGCTGCAAACCCATGTCTGACCTCTGTGCTATCTGTCAGAAGAATAACACTGCTGTTTATCGAAGCAGCAATCTACCTGATGAAGTGAAACAGGCAAAATTGAAGAAACACTTGGAGCACCTTGAATTATTTGCAAAGGAATGCACATTGTACAGGGATATGGTGGCTGAAAAAAGGGCTGCCATTGGGAACTTGACTCTTGGTGTGCATGAGCCTTGCAGTAACGATCTTACAATGCACTATTCATTTGATTATGCTCAGCAGATCCACCTACCAAGCAGTCCTCTGCAACCAGGGCCTATGTTCTTTTTGGTGCCCAGGAAATGTGGGGWATTTGGAATTTCTTGCRAGGCCCTTCCCAAGCAGGTCAACTACCTAATTTATGAGGGCATGTGCTCTGGCAAAGGTTCTGATGCAGTGATAAGTTACCTTCACCACTTCTTCAGCACTTTTGGACTGGGAGAAAAACACCTGCATCTGCACTGTGATAACTGCAGTGGCCAAAATAAGAACCACTGTGTAATCTGGTATCTTATCTGGAGACCCATCCATCGCCTGCACCTCTCAGTAACATTGAACTTTTTAATTGTGGGTCATACCAAATTTGGTCCCGACTGGTGCTTTGGCCTTCTGAAGCAGAACTTTAGATGTTCTGAGGTGTCCTATCTTGATGACTTGTACAAGTGTATTGAGAAAAGTTCAATAACAGGATCCAACATCCCACAGCTCATTGGAAATGAAGCAGGAGAATGTTCTGTTCCCATCTACAACTGGCAGCCATATAATCCTCTGAAGGACATCAAGAAACTGCAGCATATGAGGTAAATGTGATTTTTCATGACCTACTTTTGTAGTACTAGGTACATGTATTTTACTCTTAAACATTGCCTACAGTCAGTGAGGAAAAAAAGTTGAATAGGCATCTTCACTACACGTTGGTGTTAAGTAACTTTTTTTTGAAGGTTTAAGAAATAATTCTTGTTTATTTTACACCAACCTGGCATAACAATTAATCAGTAAACAGGCTCCTAACTATTCCATTTTGTTTCTGTACTTTTATAATTGATACTGATCAACCAGGCGTGGTGTTTGTGAAAACAGCAAGTGATGAAGCTGAAGAAGCCCACAGCCTACTGAAGGATGTCACCCGTACACCTCCTAATGCCATGCCTCAAGTTGTTCCCCCTCCATGGTTGAATAGGAAGAGGCAATGGTATCTGTTCTCCAAAATCCGTGAGTTCCGCAGAAAAGATGTGCAGGACATTGTATGCCCATGGCCAGCTGGAGAACCTTGGAGAACCTCTTCAGACACAGAAGTGTGAAGATGTTGCATCAGCAGCAACAAAGAAGACAGCAAAAAAGAGGAATCAAAATAAAGACAGACAAGCTGCAAAAAGGAAACAAACTGCCTTAACATCCAAATCTAAAAAAACAAAGACATGAAATGTGACTTGGCTGAGTATTAAGATGCATGTACATGTAGGAAGTGAGATGTGCATCAGAAGTTTGGTGACAATGTAATGTCTTTAATGGACCCATGGAAGTGTCCTGTTTAATGGTTTTTAATTATTTTTAATCACATTTTAAAGTAAACATTTTATTAATCAAATATTGCTTAACAAATCTTTGTTTGACTTGTGGCAGCCAGTAAGTTTTGTTTAATTTTATATTGTTTTAGAAATAGTTTTTTCTCCCATGTTGAGAGCTTGACAAAAACAGTTTAGAATACAAAGTTTTAAAAAGTCTTCTGGTATTCTCAGGAAAAATAAACTTACATTTTTGCTTTTTACATAAGTCTGTGAAGAGGAAGCTACGTTTTAAAATAGTATTTTTTCAGTATAAATGCATGGTTGCTAAGGGCATTTGTAAGATACATGTTGGTCATTTTCAAAGCTTGTTTTCGCAAAACTTTGCAAAATAAAACTGTTATGTTTTGCAAGACAAATCAAGCTGTATCTCTGGAACCGCTCATAATATACATACGTTCTATACACCAAAATGTAGCCTATGAAGTCAGGAATATGAAAATGTGCTTAGTTCATTTTGATCAAAATATGACTTAATCCCTGATTTGATGTGATGGGTCACATATACTGTATTTCATATTTCAAGTTCATTGTTATTTCTAAACATATTTGAAGTGTTTGTACTCACTTTTTGTCTCTCTAATGTTGACCTTCATCTCTCCTACAGCCTAGATCACAATTACACACAAATGACCCAATGTGCAAAATAGGTATAGATGTCATCTAGCTACTTCTAATTACTTTTATGACAGCCAATACCTACTTTCGTTATGGAGGAGTGGTCAACAGTAAACGCTGGAGAGTCTCTTGAGAGTGCCTTTGTTCAACTAGTTTCCAAGAGTCACAGTCCAGTGAGATAATGGTTTGACTGGAAGTCATACAGTCGTCAGATGCCTTTGTCAGATATTTAATATCCACCGTTCTCCACAAACAGACACTGTTTTCTACCCAGGAGCTCTGCAGGTTGCTGATGTTCACACTCAGCTTTTAATCAGCAGCTGATGAAGTGGCATGGAAGCCAGGTGGAGGCTTTCTCTGGGAAATAGTGCCATTAACCGATCAAGTAAAGTAGCTGAAATAAGCTACAGCAGCAGCTGTGCTCCCTAATGGCCAGAAACTGCTAACTGTGTGTGCGTAAGTACGTGACAATGTGAGCACCAGGTGTAAGCATGCTCTTGTCAGGAGGGAGCAGTGAGAGTGACAAACAGGCTGCTTTGGGTGTGTACAGTATTCTGGCATGTGTGTGCTGACAGGAGAATGAATGCCACAAGAGGTACAGATACTCAGAAATATCTGTTTGTACGTCAAGCAGCATACATTTACCTGTGATCCCAGCTCCTCATTGTCTTGTTCAGATTGACCTTGTGTGTGCACTCACTACCTCTGCATCAATCAACCACAGTGCTGTTATTGAATGTATTGCTCTCTGTTCACCTTTCCACTTGTTTACTTGTTTTAATGATTAGTCTGAAAGACTGAAGCTCGTTGTGCTTACTTTAAAATGGAAATGTGGAGGAAGCTCTCTGTGTATGAAGGTCAGGACAGATGAGATGTGGTGGGGGGGGGGGGTAAATGGAGAAAGAAGGTCAGGGAGTGAAGAGCAAAAGGAAGGATGTGTGAAATCCCATAATGGGTTCTGCATCATGAGAATTACAGCAGAACCCATATCCATGGGAGAGGTGGACAGCAGTGTTCCTGATGTGAACAGCAGCGCAGTTCACAATGAAATATTTAACACTGAAAAGAAAACAGAAGCTTACATTTTGAAGATAATCTGTGTATGAATATAAACAAAGTTATGTGGGTGTGAGTCACACCAGAAACAAAAACAACAAGAGGACATGATTGGTTTAGATGTTTTCTAAAATGCTTTACACTTATGCACTTTTTCCACTAGTGCCTCTACAGCATGGTTYGGCTTGCCTCTGCACGGTTCCAGTGCGTTTGCATTAATCAGAATTCATGGAACCAGCCCCTTTTTTAGTATCAACTCCATTGTGGTTCCAACCATACCGTGCTGGCCTAAAAAACTTGATGTCGGAACACAGTCAGTCACTGATTGGTTAGAGGGTGAAGTAACTGGTTGCGTCTGAAAAACAACAGCTTAATAGTTCATAATTGTACTTACCAAAGTCATGCCACTTAAATTATATTACAACTTGTAAAGGTTCATAGGGACCAAAAATATTCAAAAAATGCAAAAAAAAAAAAAACATCTTTATGGTTCAAGACTAATTTTAACTGAGTGTTTTCAGATCTACAGCTGCTTGCTGTACGTTTCTGTGATGACAGCACTGTGGGATTTATTTAGTAATTTTAATGTACACCTTGTTATATTACATTATCTGTAAATAACAAAAGTCAAGACATTTTTAATCCAAAATCTTTCTGCAACCACTGCACATTTATAAAACCAGGAACAAGAATCCAAACCGTAATCCCATGTCCAGACTGTAGGTTTGTGGTGCTAATTTTGCAGGAGATTCATCTGAAACACACACACAACATATTTATTACTAAACCTTATTAAATCAACCTTATATACTTTTATGCTTGGCTTCTTTCGTATAGCTCACTAGCAGATTAGCATTAGCTTACCCTCAGACATTGTTTAGATCGTGTCCTGTCTTCAGGATCATACTGCTTTATAACTTCCCAYGCTCTCCTGTACTTTAGGGTGTGTTACCTTGCTCATAGTCGTTTCCTGGTCAATTCTTTTGGAGTCTGGCAAAAATGCACCATGTCATCCTTGTTGTTATCAGCGTCTTCTTTATCTACTATGTTTAATGGTGGCTTGAAAATAGCTTAATGGAGCATTACTGCCACCACTTGGCAAAGGTGTATAGTGTCAATATTCTGATTCTGGGACTGCCTAGACCCCACCTACTAGAGCTGCTCTTGAAATGTACTGTAAAATCACCTAAACCATGCTGAAAAGAGTTGAGCCAAGTCAAACCATGCTGTAGAGGCGCTAGTGGGAGCGCATTCACACAGGGCTGGTGGTAAGCTACATTGTAGCCACAGTTGCCCTTGGGCACACTAACAGAGGTGGGGCCAGACTCTCTGACCACCAACAACAGGCAAGGGTGAAATATCTTGTCCAGGACAACTGAAACAGATGGAACGAGGGACTGAACCACCACAGCCACCCATCATACGTTCCCCACTGTGAAGAATTCCTTCTTCACTGAACATCAGGCTTTGAACATCGAGGAACTGAGCAGACCAGTGTGTACTACAGGTTCCACACACACATTAAGATGTTTCAAAATGATGATTGTGTGAAAGTGTGTGTGTAAAAACACAAACTTTTCACTTGCTGTGAGGATGTGTGTACCTCCATACACATTTTCAGTTGGCATTTACTAACTAAAAAGAACCAAACACAGAAATACACCAAAATATACCTTCATTTGGTTTTTTAAACCAAACAGAGAATTTAAAACATGTCCAACCAAAGGGATTTATGAGTAAAAACTAAAGCATGTGCATTTATTTTCTGCTTGTTTATAAATGAAGGGACCATTTCTTTTCTAGTCTCAGAGAATGTGAGCCACAGTTTTCTTCATTTTGGAATTTTACTGGTCAAATCATGGAGTGAACTAAAAGCTGTAATATATATATTTTTTCAGAATATAAAATTCTGTATTATGTTTTTGTCTTGCGAGTTTGGAGACTTCCTAATAATTCACTTGTGTAGGAACATATAC